CTGAGAGAAACATGCTCCTGAGATACACGTGCTACTGTGAAAGAGACACAGAGAGACACACAGAGATTGAGGGAGACTGTTGGCTGAGAGACAAGGGGCTGAGGGAGCTTGAGCATTGTTCCTGAACTTTAATTGTAGCCTGGTGCTTCTCTAATAAACCCCATAATCTGTGAGTTCTGTGTGGCCACTGTGGCCACTGCAATGAATTATCGAACTTAGCAGAGAGGTGGTGGGTGCTGCAGGAGGAACGGTTAGTGTCAGAGTTGGTGAAAGGGCTGGAAGGAGGTGGCATGTCTGGCCTTGCAGGAATAGGCCTTGGGCTACTGATGGTGATTTTGTCTTCCTCTTGTGGGGTTAGAAGAGTTCAGAAGTTATGGCCTCCCTGCCCCTTTAGCAGAAGACTTGCTTGGTTTCAGTCATACAGAGCAGTGGCTGAAGCTCACAACCATCTCTATCAGACACTAGCAAACTACAGCCTGTGGGCCAAATCTGACCTGCTGCCTGTTTTCATACAGTCCTTGAACTAAGAGTGATTTTTATAGATAAACATTTGCAGTCGATATGATGATGATGGGAAGCACTGACTTTGAACCCCAACTAAGCAAAATGTTATCCTCCCCCAACAAATTACATTCTTGTTGTTGTTGTTGTTGTTGTTATGTGCCGTCAAGTCGGATCTGACTCACAGTGACCCTTCCTTTGCTTCCCAAGGCAGTATCACTACAGAAGTAGATTGCACAACCTTCCTTCCGAGAAGTGGCTGGTGGGTTTGAACTGTCACCCTTCTGGTTAGCAGTCAAGTGACTTAGGCACTATGCTACCAGAGTTCCTTTCTTCTTATTACTAGTCCTTTATTTTAAAAATTGTACTCATTATTTTTGTATTTCATCAATAAAAACCTCGTGAAACATTTTCTTTCTTTTTTATAGAAGTACCTACATAATATCTTCAGTTTTCCTTCTTTGTCTGCAAAACCTAAAATATTTAAGATCTGACTCTGTATAGAAAAAAGAAATTTACCAACTCCTGATCTATGTAACCTACTGTGCATTTAAGATGGTCCTGTATACTCTTTATAGCTTGAAGAGAGTCCCTAGTTCTGCCAATATATTATCCTAACTTTATAGCTAAAACTGAATCCCAGGAATGTAGGTGACTTTTCCAATACAACCTAGCTGTGAGTGATAGAATAATATCCATATGCTTACAAAGACCAGTTAATATGACTATATCATTCAAATTTACACATAAACCATTAAAGCCAGAGGTGAAGAAATGGGGAGATTTTTGCCATCTTCCACAGTTGAAAATTGACAAAAAATGCAATCAAGATGTATTGATAATTACTGGTGATTGGAATGTGAAAGTTGGAAATGAAGAAGCATTGGTATTTGGAAAATGTGTCCTTGGTGATAAAAATGATTCTGGAGATTGCATGATAGAATTTTGCATGACCAGCAATTTATTGATTGCAAATATCTTTTCTCAACAACATAAGCCACGACTTACATGTGGACCTCACCACATGGAATACACAGGAATCAAATCAACTACACCTGTGGAAAGAGAAGATGGAAAAGCTCAGTATCATCCATCAGAACAAGACCAGCAGCTGACTGTGGAACACACCATCAATTGTTCCTATGCGAGTTCAACTTGAAGCTGAAGAAAATTAAAACAAGTCCATGAGAGTCAAAATATGACTTGGAGTGTATTCCACTTGAATTTAGAGACAATCTGAAAAATAGATTTGATGCATTAAACATTAGTGACCGAAGACCAGACTTGTTGCAGGGTGACATCAAGAACATCATACATGAAGAAAGAAAAAGTTCATTAAAAAGATAAGAAAGGAAGAAAAGACCCAAATGAATGGTAGAAAAGACTCTGAAACTTGATTTTAATGTAGAGTACCTAAAGTGAATGAAAGAAATAATGACATAATGAGTTGGCTCTCAACCCAACAGTAGAAAGACCTGTACCCCTTAGATCAATCATCCATGAGACATCAGAGGGGTAGCATTCACATAAAGGGAAAGCTGGACTGACAGAAATGCATAGATAAGAAGGGCACTGGGAAGGGTTAGTCACGGTGAGGAGAATTTTTTATGGTTCGGGATTGTTATTGGGCTGTGAAATCAAATGTGCATGAACACACAAAAAAGGAAAGAAATGATGACATAAAAGAGCTGAAGAGTCCAAAGGGCAGCCCCAGAGGACAAAGTAAAGTATTATAATGAAATGTGTAAAGACCTGGAGTTAGAAAATCAAAGGGGAAGAACATGGTCACCATTTCTCAAGCTGAAAGAACTGAAGAAATAATTCAAGCCTCAAGTTGCAATACTGAAGGATTCTATGGGCAAAATACTGAACAATGCAGGAAGCATTAAAAAAAAAAAAAAAAGAAGAAAGAAAAGGAAGGAAGGAAGGTATACGAAGAGTCAGGGTACCAAAAAGACCTGGTGACGTTCAACCATTTCAGGAGGTAGCATACAATCAAGAACCAATAGTATTGAAGGAAGAAGTCCAAGCTGCACTGAAGGAACCAGTGAAAAACAAGACTCCAGGAGTTGACAGAATGCCCATTGACATGTTTCAATAAATGGATGCAGCACTGGAAGCACTCACTCGTTTATGCCAAGAAATTTGGAAAATAGCTGCCTGGCCATTTGACTGGAAGAGATCCATATTATTACCCATTCCAGAGAAAGGTGATCAAGCAGAATGTGGAAATTATCAAACAATACCTTTAATATTACACTCAGGTAAATTTTGAAGGTAATTAAAAAGCAGTTGCAGCAGTACATTGACAGGGAACTGCCAGAAATTCAAGCTGGATTCAGAACAGGATGTGGAAGGAGGAATATATTTGCTGATGTCAGATGGATCTTGGCTGAAAGCAAAGGATACCAGAAAAATGTTTACCTGTGTTTTTTTGATATGCAAAGGCATTCAACTGTGTGGATCATGACAAGTTATGGATAACCTTGCAAGGGATGGAATTCTAGAACACTTAATTGTGCTCATGAGGATCCTATACATAGACCAAGAGGCAGTTGGTTGAACAGAACAAGGAGATACAATGTGGTTTAAAATCAGGAAATGTGTGCATCAGAGTTGTATCCTTTCACCATACTTTTTCCATCTGTATGTTAAGCAAATAATCCAAGAAACTGTACTGTATGAAGAAGAACACTGCATCTGGATCGGAGGAAGACTCATTAACAATCTGTGACATGCAGATGACACACCTTGCTGGCTGAAAACGAAGAAGACATGAAGCACTTATTGATGAAGATCAAAGACTACAGCCTTAAGTATGGATTGTACCCCAACATAAAGAAAACAAACCCTTCACACCTGGACCAATAACAACAACATCATAAATGGATAAATTGAGAAAAAATTTAAGTTGGCAAGGATGTCATTTTACTTGGATCCACAATCAGCACTTCTGGAAGTAGCAATCTAGAAATCAAACAACATATTACATTGGGCAAATCTGCAAAAGATCTCTTTAAAGTGTTA